TATCTTTTTCTCTTTCTATTTGGCAAAAGCTTTTAAGAGTTGTTTTCTTGTATTGAAGTTGTTATTTTAGCCTTCTAACTTTATCACATGGAAAAGTTGTAATTCTTATTTCTCTCTCTCTCTCTCTTTTAATTTTCAGACGAACAAAGTTACATTTAGTTTGACGCCAGAGATCATTTTACAGGTTTGTGTATTCTCTCATTTATTCATTTTTTTTGTTAGGACAAATTTTTGTTTGCTTTTTAGAGCTTAAATACTATTGTTGGGCCCTAATTTATAAGCTCAAGAGGTAATGTAACATAATATCAAAGCCAAATTGACCAACTGGTCTTGTGTTTGAATCCCCTGACGTATTAGGTAAATTTTAATGAGTGTATTTTGATGATTGTATTTTTTGTTGTGATTATGTTTGACCCATATACAAGAGCCCACGAGGGAGCATGTTAGAGCTTAAATATTGTTTTTGGGCCCTTGTAAACTTAAGCTTGTTGGTCAATTGGTAACTTAACACTTCTCAAGTGGTCTGGAATATACTTTTATAGCATTTGGCTTACCATTGTGTTCCTTTTCTTTAATTTTGTTTCTTTTGTATAAATGGATAAATTTTCTTTCAGATTTTTGCGGAGAAACCAGCTGTTCACCGGGCATATTTGAATTTTGTTCCCAAAAAGGTAGTGACAACCTTGGAACTTCTTTTTGAATTCTTTAGACAATTTTCTTTCAGAATTATGAATTTCTGCTTTGGTATTTTTGGTGTGTAATATATGTAAATTGGTCTTAGATGACAGAAATGGAATTCTGGACCAAATATTGTAGAGCAGAATACCTCAACCGTACGAAAAATGTTCATGCTGTTGCAGCAGAGGCTGCTGAAGATGAAGAGCTTGCTGTTTTTCTGAAGGAAGATGATATATTGGCAAGGGAAGTTCGTAAGAAGGTGCTTTTCTTGGAAAGCTGGATCCTTGATACTCTGTTGTTCCATTAACATTTTTTAAATGTAAAAGGCTTCCTACTTTTTCTTTCGTCTTCTAATATATTGTGTTAAGAGCCTTTATATAATTGCAGATTAGACGGGTTGATCCAACCTTAGACATAGAAGCTGATGAAGGGGATGATTACACCCATCTGCCTGTAAGTTGGATGACACACCATTCTCCAATTTTATTCATTTCTCTGTTCTTTCCTTTTTCCTGATCTGTAATAGATTTTTTTTTTCCTTATTTTCAAGTTTCCAACTCTATCTTGAGTGTAAATTATATTTTATATTATCAGTGCATATGCTGTTCCTAAAAGTTCATTTGTTGTCAAAAGTCTGATGGGTGCTTCTTTTAATTTTCTATTGGTTTGAACCATTTTTGTTTCATTTTCAAATATCAGTTGCATATTTTCAATTGCAGGATCATGGGATTTTACGTGATGGCAGCAAGGAAGTAAATGAATCTCAGAATGAATTTTATAGAAGGACTCTGCTGCAAGACCTTAATCGGCATGCTGCTGTTGTTCTTGAAGGAAGAACTGTAGGTAAGGCACTCCATTCAATTTTCTCTTTTCTTCATGTTTAAATTACACATGAAATATTTGATAGCTGATTCTAATCTGTTGGAAATATTTATCATATGTTCCTGTTCCCCTTGAATCTCATATGGTATATTTTTTTCATTTATATCCTGAAAACATGTTACACCAAGTTTTTTTGGGCTATTTTTCAATAAACTTATATATATGTATTTTTCTTGACTTTCGTAAACCTTAATTTAGATGTTGAAAGGGAAGACAACACAAAGGCTGTAGCAGAGGCACTTGCACATTCAAAGCAGGGTAAGTATGATTTAGATTTCCTTTCTTTTATACCAATTGAGTTTAAGCTCCCCACCCCGCTATACAACAGCAAAAAAAAAAAAAAATCAGTTCAAGATCAGTTATATAGGAAGTGTTGTTACTTTACTGTTATTTAATATAGGCAAGCAAGGAGCTGATGGAAATGAAAACGAGGATAGATTAGAGAGAATCGCCCGGGTTGCACCAATTGAGGATCTCCAACCACCAGATAGTCTTCCTTTAGCCCCACTTAGCATTAAGGTTTGACTTTCTTATCACACTTTGCTATCAGTTTATGGTTGTCGCATATAATTTATGTCAAATTTATGGAACCAGGATGCTCGGGAATACTTTGATTCTCAACAAGTTAATGCACTAAAAACCTCCAGAGATGCATCGGCAAGGAGGGAATCACGGAACTGCAACACCCAGGAAGCATATGCTTCTATGAGGAATGCTATTTCTGAGATTAAAGAAAATGGATTAAGTGATCCAATAGTTAGTTCTGATGTTGCCATTAAGGTATTAGCATATTTGGATGTGATAATCAGTATTCCGTTTCTAATAGAAATGAGGAGATATATTTTATTAATGCAAGTGTTTAACTGTTCAAATTTATTTGTAGGTTTTTAATGGGTTGACTCAGAATATCTCTAGCATCAAATATCATCTCGGGAAGAATCCTCGGGAGAGTGTTCTAGATAGATTGCCAAATACAACTAGAGAGAAACTTCTATTTGTGAGTTATCCTCACTCCTATAAACTATATATAGTTGCTTTTCTAAATATAGTGGGGATTGGCTCACGCTTGTCATTTTCTTTACTATCAATATAATCCTTTCAACAATCAGAAAAAAGAAAGTTACTTTACAAAATATATAAGGTTTTATCTGGTTTATGACACGACATGTTCTGTATTAGACTTCAAATTCAATGAGTCAGATGTTTGTTTCTTGTTGAACTTATTAATTCTGTTGCTAGATTTTGGTATAGTTTCCAGTGAAATCATGTTTACAAGGAAAACATTATTCTCTGCAGCATTGGACAACAATTCAAGAATTACTGAGGCATTTTTGGTCTTCATATCCAATCACCACTACATATCTTTATACTAAGGTAATGACTTTAATTCTCTTCTTGCGATGAGGTTCCTCTATCATACCTTATTTCAAACTGAGATTTGGTGTTTCCTAGGAATGCCTCAAGTGTTTATAAGTCAAACAATTTATCACGTCATTAGTTAAAAGTTTCTTCCTCTTTTGGGATGCTTGAAGTGTTGACCTACAATACATAGACTTCAGTAGGCAAAATTTTGATGGTATCGAGAGGTTTGGATTTTCATGTTTATCATGGTGAGGATATAGCATTTGTATCTTTGTTCATTCCTTTATGATATATACAGGTAACCAGACTGAAGGATGCCATGTCAAATATTTATCCACAGCTAGAGGTATGTTTCCTGCAAAAGTTTACATCTTTGGCTTTTTTTCATCCGTATGGTTTTGCATTGAATCAGTTGCTAATGAAAAAAGTAATCTTGATAGAAAACCCAGCCAAATATACCAATGTACATAGCAGTGATTGTAGAAGCATTAATCATGTTGATTTGTACAACTTTTATCATGGGATTTATAAAGAACTTCAGTATTTCTTACATTTATTAACTTAAGCTATATCCTTATCCTTAATAAAATTCCAGGAATTGAAGGAATCTTTGCAGTCAGAGCTCCGGCACCAGGTTTCCCTCCTTGTTCGTCCAATGCAACAGGTCAGCACTTCTCTCCATTACTTGGTTCAACCGCATAACCTCTCCTATTCTCCCTTGATCAGTGGTTTTTGATTGTGGTTTCCAATCACATTCATATCTTATAAATGTAATAAATGAGTGATACGTTGTCGGTAGTCTGTCCGTCACTCAATCGCACTGCTGATGTTTGAAATAACGTGAAAGTGAATTACTAGAAATAATTTCATGTTGGTAAAGTAATGACATTATTTAAGAAAAGCATCTCTGCCCATTAGCTTGGATTATGTTTGTATTTTGCATGTTAATGTAATACGGAACTCATGGAAAACAGCACTTTGGTGTAGGCTTTAGATGCTGCAATTCAACATCATGATGTCGACATGCAGAAGAGATCGGCAAAGAGTGGAGAGAAACCAAATGGATATACCTAGTGGAAGAACTCAGTATCGATCATCAATTTGTTAGAACAATACTGTGATATTGTTTGCTGCTTCCAGCGGTATCATCTTTGTACAAATGTGCATTGAATCAATTTTGTTGTGAGCTTATGCGTGATTAACGGCAATGCTTCAATCCTATGTAAAAATATACTTTCAAATTCATCAGGTGGTAGCCATATTTATACAATTCATTGTTCTTCTAAAATTTTCATAGCTAAATACCACAGTTTTCTCAAGTTTTGCCGATTGAACTTGTTCTTCTGAATGCTTACCATTCATTAGTGCTGGTTGTTAAAAATAGATGACTTGTGAGAGTTCTTAATGGGACATGGACCTGTCAAAAACTCTATTAAGGCTGTTTCATGTCCACAGCCTGATAACTCTATTAAGGCTGTTTCATGTCCATAGCCTGACAGGGCATCAGGCTGCTGAATCTGAATTTGTAATGTGAATCTGAATTTGTAATGTGAATCTGAACATGGTTTATCAGTCATAAAATCTTGTATATTCTCCTAAACAATCTGGTAAAGCCATGAACTTCCAGGCAACTTATGTGCACTTCTGTGAGACAACTCAGCAGCAAAAAAAAGATCTTAAGTTTTCAACTTAATGGAGTCTTATGCAGCTGCTGAACTGAGCATCAAAAAAGCACTAAAAACCTTCTTGGGAATTTCAATTCAATTAGAATGTCAAAAATTCTTAATTCAAATTATATTTAACTACAACCATTACATCACATGCTTTTGAAAGACAACTCAGCACTCAGCAGCAAAAAGGATCTTAAATTTTCAACCCAACAGAGCCTGTTGTTTTGAGAATGCAATATGCTGCTGCTGACTTGAGCTTCAAAAAAATACTAACAATCTTCTTGGGAATTTCAATTCTATTAGAACCTCAAAGTTCTTAATCCAAATTGTGTTTAATGCAGCAAAGTTTGGACTTTGGATCTTTCTGGGATCTGTCATATTCAATGCCAAAAATAAAACAACCCCAACAACAAAATTCAAATCACATTAAAAACAAATCAAAGAATATGTTATATAAATTCTATATTAAAAACCCATATCACAAAACACTAAAATATAGATCCATAACATCAAATTAACAATCACAATATCCTAATTCAAGTACGAAGGAAAACAAACAAAAAAAAAAAAGGAACAAATTCAATACTAATCAAGAATCAAACTAAAAGGGAGAAGGAGGAGGAACATAATTGAAGAAAGGTCTTCCCTTTCCACAGAGAGAGCCATGAACGTTTGGATCACAAACATGCAGAGTATCCTTAGCCTTGTGAAAGGCTTTCTTGAAAACCCCGAATCCGAACAGCAACCCGATAAGAACCACCACAGCTATCAAACAAATACAAAACATGCACATCTTGGTTCCGCAACACATCTTGACAATGCCCTTTTGACAACAACTCAACTCGCTCACTAACTCTCAAAAAAGTTTGGATCTTGAAGATTCTGAAGTGGGTTCTGAGTAAATTTATAGGAAGTTATCGACGAAGAAGATGATGAAAGAATAAAAGAGAATAATATATGGTGAAGGCAAGACTTGGACGTTATAGGAGTTGTTGGCTTAAAAGGAAAGCAATAAATTAACATAAAATTTTCAATTTTGGAGTTGCTTTTGGATAAACCCAAAAGTGAAAGTGTTTTTCATGTTTTCCGTTTTTGCCTTTTGGTTTAGTTTTGTTTGAAGTTATAATTAATAAGAGTTTGAATAGATAAAGCAATTGTGTTTTTTGGAAGCACCCTTTGTGATGTGGTAAGCTGTCATTGGTGAGATTTAATAGGACATCACCAAACCTTTCAAGCCTCTTTTTCACCTCCACAATTATATTTTCATTCCTCCTTTTGGAATTTACATTTCACAACATTACCCATCTAATGTTTGATAATGAAATACAATATTGAGGTAACGTTACTTAACTAATGTATGTTATCGAGCAACGGTGTAACATTACCTATCTTTTACTATTAGTATTTGTTTATATGAACTTTCAATAATTTCTTATCTCTAGTGGACTTTTCTATAAGATTCGAACTTAGATAAAGTTCTGACCATCTATCAGAGAAAAAAGAACGAATGAATCTTATAAGATTCTTAAAAAATTCTTCGATTTCTTTCCGAAGGCTGAAGCAAATACTTATTCATCTGCTTTTCACGTCCCTTGAATAATCGGGATATTGAGAAATATCAAGAAAAATATTTAGGGAATTGGTTTGATTCTCTTTCTGTTTGTCCGTTTGAAAAGGGAGAAGGACATTTTCCCACCCAAGGTTTGGCAAAACGACACTTTCCCACCCTTCAAGTTTCAAAATGACACTTTCCCACCCTTCTTTAGGTTCTGTTATATTTTCCGTTAATATTTTACTGAAAAGACGAAAATACCCTTAAATATTTGACTTTATAATTTTTTATTTAGCCAAAAAGTCGAATATTAAAAAGTCAAAAAAGAAAAAATAGTTAGTCCCCACTTAAAAAGTTAGGAGTAATGCTATGCAATTGTTTAAAGTTAAATGACCTTAATATTTATTTATTTATCTATAATGTCATCAATATCCCATCACTATTATTCAATAATCTACTAAATTTATAATGTTTTTCATTTTTACTAATTAACCTAGAAAATCAATATTCCTAATTAATTAAATAAACAAAGGGAAAACAAAAATATTTCTTTACACTTAAAGTAATAAATAATTGAGTAAAGACTTTGACTTAACTAAATTTTAATTTATAATAAACTAATTAAGAAATAAACTATTTAAGGGTATTTTTGTCTTTTTAATAAAATATTAACATAAAATACTAACAAAACCTGACGAATGGTAGGAAAGTGTCGTTTCGCCAAAACTTGGGTGGGAAAATGTCATTCTCCCGTTTGAAAAAAACAGAAGGATCCCAACAATCTCTCTGTGTGATATTGCGAATCCTTATTACTAACGGATACATATGAAAAAAAATTAACCAAATTAAATAAAAATAGAAAAAGAAAATCTAATTTTCATTAAATAATTATCAAAAACATTTTTTTTTTCAAAGAAGTCCAATAACTTCGCTTAACACGCAAGCCTTATTTTTATTACAAAATAGTCCCCCATAAAATGAATTTATTTTACAACACACCCATCACTTTCCTCATTCACTCTCTTTCGTCGACATCAAGCAAAACATCCATAATTTCACATCATTCCACACAGCGAATGAACTAATGGCTTCTCCGAAAACCCCTCAACCTCAATTTGACATGCACAGTTTCTTCCCTCCTTATCCTCCGTCCCCCTCCTCCTCCGCCACCACCTCCACTGCAACCTCCTCCTTCTTCCCTTACCCTCCGCTATCCCCGGAGCCCCACGCTAACATGCACCCCCACCGCTTCCCCCCTTATCCTTCACCCCCTCCTCTCAACGCCGGCACCCAAATTCTCGCTCTTCTCAACAATAACAGCAACACCAACAACACTAACAATAGTAGTATCAACAATTTTGGTAGTAGTATTATTATTGCTAATAATTCTTGTCAGAGAATGGCCAAAGGACGGCATGTTTCGGGTGATTGCGTGGCTTATGACGTGGACGTTCGTGTCGAAGGCGAGAGAGAACCGATGCAACTGGAGGTGACTCCGATTACTAAGTACGGGTCGGATCCTGAACTTGTTCTCGGTAGACAAATCGCTGTTAATACACATTACATTGTGTATGGGCTCAAAGGTGGAAATGTTAGGGTTTTGAATCTCAACACTGCTTCGCGCGCTTTGTTTCGTGGCCACGCTAAGGTATTTATAATTTGTTTTGGGTTTTTTAGTTTTGGTATTAAGTGTTCTATAATGGGTTTATTTTGTTTTTTAAGTGTTTGTTGTCAAATGTTCTGTAATGGGTTTGCTTTGTTTCTTTGCTAAAGCATTTGTAGTTTATTTTGGGCTTTAGTGAATATACTAATAAGTATTCTGTGATGTGTTTGTTGTGTATTCAGTGGTGAGATATTTGTAATTTATTTGGTTTTATAGTGTTTATTGCTAAAAAAATTTGTAATGGGTTTGGTTTGTGTTCTTTGTCGGGATTCAGAGAGTCACGGATATGGTGTTTTTCGCGGATGATGTGCACCTTTTGGCTACTGTGAGTGTGGAGGGGCGAGTTTATGTTTGGAAGATATGTGAAGGTCCAGATGAACAAGATAAGCCACAAATTACAGGCGACGTTGTTTTTGCTATTCAGTTTTTAGGAGAGAGTAAAGGAGATTATGTGCATCCTAGGCTTTGTTGGCATTGCAACAAACAAGTAATCAAATTGAATTGAAATGTTTGTTTGAGTTTTTTGTAAGAAAATTGTTTGTAATAATGTTTTGCTTTGTTGATTTTGATTTTACAGGATGTTTTGGTGGTGGCGACGGGGAAGTGCGTGTTGAGAATTGACACTGCAAAAGCTGACAAGGGTGAAGGTTTTTCAGCCGAGATGCCTCGTCGATGTTCTGTTGACAGGCTGATTGATGGAGTTCAGTTAGTTGGTAAACATGATGGAGAAGTAACTGATATATCTTTTTGTCAGTGGACAATCACCCGCTTGGTTTCTGCTTCTACTGATGGCACGGTTTGTGCTTCTTTATTTGTACATCATCTTTCAACGAAAGCAATAATTTTTTTTTTTTTTTAATGGTGGCTGAAATTAAATATGGGTGTAGCTTAATAATGGTAACTTCGTAGTTTCAAATTTTATCATAAAATAAGGCAACATAATAAAAGTGCAGTAATGGAAGTTCTTGGCTGGAGCTGTGTGAGGGAAGGCAATCAACTATGCCAATAATTTATAATCCCTGCTAGAGTAGTGCAGTGAGTTTTCTCTGGGGATGGTTGTCAGTTTACTAACTTTTCTTATGATTTTTGAATTGCGGTTTTTTGTCTCTTGTCCCAAACACAATCTTTTGAACAAAATATTTGTTTACTATGTAAATTAAGTATCTCTGTTGTCCTCTTTTTCACGTGTGCAATTGTATGCCTTGTGATTGATTAATGTCAATAAGTGGATTGATTGTTGGCATGAAAATTTCTTGTTGTGCAACAGATAAAGATTTGGGAAGATGGCAAGGCAGGGGCACTTGCTACATTGAAACCACACGGTGGCCAACCTGTAAATTCAGCCAAGTTCTTGACTGCTCCGCACCAGGCGGGTCACATCATACTTGTCACAGCGGTACATGCCAACCTAGTACTTTATGCTGCTAAACAATAAGCATCTTCCCATTGGTCACTTTAGTTCATTTTTTTATATGATCAAGAAGGTTTTTATTGGTTAGAATGATTTTGTTTGTGGCATTCATACTTTTGCTTTTAAACTTCATGAGATGTTACTTTAGGGCTTTTGTCATCATTCTTTTTAGAAAGCTGCTCTTAGACCTTTTTATGGCAGTTAATAATTGCATTTGCATTACAGCGACTCCTATAGTATTTTTTCTTAATTAAACAATTAAGCTGTTATTAAACAGATAATCTGTTTCCAGGGACCTTTAAATAAGGAAGTGAAGATTTGGTCATCAGCTAGTGAAGAAGGATGGCTGCTTCCTGGTGATGTTGAATCATGGAAGTGTACCCAGACATTAGCCTTCAGGAGTTCTGTTGAAGCTCAGGTTGAGGAGGCATTCTTTAACCAAACTGTGGCATTGTCTCAAGCTGGTCTTCTCTTATTTGCAAATGCGAAGAAGAATGCAATTTACTCAGTACACTTGGACTATGGTGCTAATCCCATGGCCACCCGCATGGATTACATAGGAGAGTTTGCAGTGACCATGCCTATTTTGAGTTTTACAGGAACAACTGAGCCTCCCGGTGGACATATGGTTAAGCTTTATTGTGTTCAAACACTGGCTATTCAGCAGTATGCTTTGGACTTGTGCCAGTGCTTGCCACCACCAACAGAAAGTGTGGAGGATTCAGATTCAGGTGTCTCACGGGATGCAAGTATTGCTGACTTAAATGGAAGTAGACTTGGCGCATTTCCATTCCCTAATTCAGCATTCAAGCCAAGTTACTCTGAAGTTGCTAGTGCAAGATATCCTCTTCGTTCTACTTCTCTTGAGGCTGCCGCTTTGCCAGAAAATATGACATCTAACACGGATTCTAATCCTATTTCTCTGGCACGAACAACTAGTGATACTAATATTTTTTGTATGGCGTCACCTCCTCTTCCACTGAGTCCTCGGTTGTCTAGGAAGCTTTCTGGTCTTGGAAATGCAAAAAATAGCTCTGAGCTGGGCCCCTCACTTGGTGAGCATGGCGGAAGCCAATCAATTATTGACTATTCAGTTGACAGGCAAATGGACACCATTCATGCAAATGTATCTGGTGTAGCTTCCTATGATAATGATGCAAAGAATGAAGAAAAGAAAATTGCAACAAAAGATATATCCAGGGTGCTGAATCCATCTATCATGTTCAAACATCCGACTCATTTGATAACTCCTTCTGAGATCTTAATGTCAGCTTCATCTTCTGAAACTACCAATATTATTGAGGGCAAGGATGAGGAAGAGGCAAATATTCAAGATGTGGTCGTCAATAGTGATGTGGCTAATGCTGAAGTGGAGGTTAAAGAAGTGGGTGAAACGAGAGCTGCTCATGGTGATGAATTTGGTTCCTATGGAGAAACTCAAAACCATGTTCCAGAAAACAGAGAAAAGCTGTTTTGCTCCCAGGCTTCAGATCTTGGAATCAAGATGGCCAGAGAGTCTTCTGCAATATCAGCAGAAAATCATTTTGTGGAAGAGTTGCAGGAAGTTGATGGTGCTGGCTTAACAGCCCAACTTTCCCAACCTTCTGTTAGTGGTGAGTCAGAAGCCCAGGACTCCACAAAAGATGTTAATGGAAAGGTTTCAGGGTCAGCTGTGACTGCAATATTTGCACAATCTGGAACACCAAGCGCCAAGGGGAAAAAGCAGACAGGAAGCAATTCTCAAGTGCCAGATCATTCTTCAAGTGTTCCTAACTCAGCTGGTTCTTTCCGTGAACCTGGGAGGAATTCAACTCTCACCTCTGCACAAGCTGATTCTTCTCAAATTGCAACTATGCAGAGTACGCTTAATCAGGTAATTGCTCACGGTTGAGATGCTGTAAAATCCCTTTTAGTACGTGTTAAATTGTGCAATTTTTTTCTGCATTTTAATTGCTCAATATGCATAAGAGTGTCATTCAAGAATAACTAACATGAGCGTATTGTGAAGGGATTGTTTGATCACTTTCTGGCACTGCATAAATGGTTTTGTTTTTCACACTAATTATACATTTTTTATGTGCAGTAATTATATCCTGTATATTACCTTTTTAATCTTGATTGCTTCAATATTTTCTGTTCACTATTAATAAATTTTTATGTATGGCGATTGTGCAAGCCTTTGATTTAATGTAAAATTGGATGTCGGAGTTCAACCTTTTACCTACGCATGCCAAATCTTTCTGAAGTTATGATCTGTTGTTCAGCTATTGGTCTTCGCTGTCATTCTTGGTTGAGAATCTTGGAACATGTTTCATGTTTGTATTTATCTTCTCATACTAGTAACACTATGTTAGTATGTTTGCAAAGAAATGAAGGTTTAAGTTTTTGTATCTCATAGGATAAGCCATCATAAATATGACATGCACTTGCAATATGTTCCAGTCGCGGTCAACTTATCAACATAGTATTTCTTTTTTGTGCAGCTAATGACCATGCAAAAGGAACTGCAGAAGCAGATGTTGAGCGTGGTGACCCTTCCTGTAACAAAAGAAGGTAGAAGACTGGAGGCATCTCTAGGAAGGGGGATTGAGAAGGCTGTCAAGGCCAGCACTGATGCATTGTGGGCTCGTTTCCAAGAGGAGAATGGGAAAAATGAGAAATTATCGCGAGACCGCTCACAACAAATAACTAATTTAATCACTAACTTAATTAACAAGGACTTGACCCCTGTAGTAGAAAAAGCAGTGAAGAGGGAATTGGCTGCAGTTGGACCAGCCATTGTTCGCACCATCTCTCCCAGTATTGAGAAAACTATTTCTTCAACTATTACAGAGTCCTTCCAGGTTTGAACTCTGAATCTCTGGTTCTTCTAAAAGTAATCTGGTTTATTGGCATCTAATTGATACTTTGTGCTGCAGAGAGGAGTCAGTGACAAGGCAGTGAATATGCTGGACAGGTCAGTTAATACAAGACTTGAAGCTACAGTTGGTAGGCAAATCCAAGCACAATTTCAAACTTCTGGCAAGATAGCTCTCCAGGTCACAAGTTCAGCTTGGCTCAGTTTAATTAAATTATTGAATCAGATCTGGACTGAATAAAATATCATTGCTCAAATAGGTTGTTTATCTTTTGATGTGAGTTTAGAGAAATATCTGATCTTATCAGTCTGTTCATTTAGGATGCTTTGAAGTCCGGTGTAGAAGCTTCAGTGTTCCCTGCCTTTGAGAAGTCATGCAAAGCTATTTTTGAGCAAGTAGACGCTACCTTTCAGAAAGGAATGGCTGAACATTCAACTGCAGCTCTGCAGCATTTTGAATCTGCACATTCTCCCTTGGCTCTAGCTTTAAGGGTGTGTATTATCATGCTATGCTATACTATTCATATAGAACCACTGACCTTTCTTTTCCCCTTCTTACCTCTGAGGTACATAAATCAAAATCTTTGGTTCTTTCAGGATTCAATTACTTCTACTTCGTCACTGGCCCAAACTTTAAGTGGAGAATTGGCAGATGTTCAGCGTAAACTTATAAGTCTTGCAGCTGCAGGAGGAAACCCAAGTGTTGTACATCCCTTGATTCCCCAACTGAGCAATGGACCTTTGCATGTTCTCCGTGATAAGGTTCTCTGCTTTCTCTTGTTCGTTATTTACAAGTAACAATTGAAGCTGAATGCTGAAAGACTGAAAAGTCGTATTCAGCTGCCTAATAACATTTGTCATTAAGATTTTTGGTTGGCTATCCTAATATTAATTACTCTATATTCATGCTTCAGGTTGAATCATCTTTAGACCCCGCAAAAGAACTATCCAGATTGATATCTGAGCGCAAATATGAAGAAGCTTTCATTGTTGCCCTACAAAGAAGTGATGTGTCTATTGTGTCTTGGCTATGTTCACAGGTATGCTATAGTATGCTTTAGATTCTTTTGTCGGTCCTTGTACTCGAGTATTAGTTCCTAATGGGTCTCTTAGCCATAAGTTATTTAAATGATCTATACTAGTTTTTCTCTGTATACTTTCCATCTGTATGTGCTGGAGATTATTATGAGAAGTGAACTTGGCTGAAATACTCATTACTGCATATTAAGTCATGTATGATTTTTCTTCCTTGTATTTTCCAGGTTGATCTACACGGGATTCTGGCTACGGTGCCTCTCCCTTTGAGCCAAGGAGTATTGCTCTCTCTTCTGCAGCAGTTGGCCGTTGATATCAACAATGACACACACCGTAAACTTGCATGGCTAACAGATGTGGCTGCCGCCATAAACCCAACAGATCCAGTGATCACAATGCATGCACAACCCATCTTTGATCAAGTCTATCAGAGACTGCACCATCAACGTAACTCACCAACAATCACCGGCGCTGAACTTTCAAGTATCCGTCTTCTCATGCATGTCATCAACTCCATGATGATGACCTGTAAACCTCAGTGACATGGACTTCTAATACGGTAGGAAACTGTACATATTTTTTTTCATAACATTGTCGGTTTTATCTATTTTTTTGGTTTTCTACTAAACAGATTAGCTTCCTCTGGTCGAAAGTAATTCGCTATCATGAAAATTTTTCCATTCATGCTTTTGATATTATATTTTAATGACGTTTCTTTTGGGTGTTCTGTTCATAATCTAATGAATGTCACAACAGTTTCAGTGGCATTTCCCTTTCAATTCCAAGCAAATCCAAGTTGTATCTTGGATGTAGGAAAACTTTTATGTTGTACACTCAACCGTGTTTAGTGTTGACATGAATGCACATGCAAAGCCTAGATTTTGTGAAAAGAAACTTGTTACTACACAACATGTACATAGAAGTCAGCTTCCTCTTTTAATGCAATGCAAATGTCCGTACTCTCATATTGCAAGACAGCCAATCTGGGTATTAATTCTTGCCCAAGTTATTAGAAATCTTTCTTACACGAGATCTGTTGTATGAAATACGTTGTTCATAGAAAGTAATGGATCTACCCTAAAAAGTAATGAAGGCAGCAGGTGGGGTAGATCCAATGGTGCAAAGTTTAGGGTAAGGTTACCCCATCTAGTAACATAGTATAGCCCTTTTAGGACTTTCAAAATTTTAGATTATCAATAACATCCCGCATAACTTCCAAAATAAGAAATTCAACCCATAGTCAAACCAGTGTTGCAGTTAGCAATTGCCAATTTCAATTTCATCAATCTTCTTGGATAAATCTTTCTTGTAAGTTATATACTTCTTGAGTTTGACATAACATCAAATTGCCCTTTTATGGTTGTGAGGGTCTAAATGATAATCATATCAATTTAAATTAAAAATTTGATGGTATAATAGAGCTAAAAAGTAATCCAAAAGTCCTAAAGCAACATGCATAGTTAACCACTTGGCTTGCGGTCGGGCGGATGACATGACCTTTGGTTACTCAAGGTCTTGTGTTCGAGTATTATTGAGTTTGTAAAATGTTTAATTGACCGCTAACCGAACATCCTAGTCACCAAAAATAAAAATATCTACACTTGCAAAAGCACTTTTACTAGAATCACTTGTCTCTATGGAACAAGCTTCCTTACCAAGTACTTATCAAACAAAAAACGCACTTAAAAAAAAGAGCTTTTCATGCCACCAAGTTAGGTATTTTTATTTTGTGGTGCACCACACCAAAATGCCAAGAAAGTAACAATAAATTAAAAGGAGCCAAACAACTACTAATATTTATTATTTAGCATTAAAATAGGGCAAAACAAGTCACTTTAATGCCAAAAATTATGTGTATTTACTCAATCATATTTACATAACGTTATTATATCAAATTGCCCTTTTATGCTTGTGAGGGTCTAAATGATAGTTATATCAATTTAAATTACAAATTTGATGGTATAATAGAGCTAAAAAATAACCAAAAGTCCTAAAGCATGCACACTTAACCACTTGGTTTGCGCCCGATCGGATGGCAATACCTTAGATTGTCCAAAGGTTTTATGTTCGAGTATTATTAGGCTTATAGAATGTTTAATTTACGGGATTAGTTAAGGTACACAAACTAACCGAACATCTCAATCACCAAAAATAAAAACATTTACACTTGCCAAAGCACTTTTACTAGAATCACTTTTCTTTTTGGAACAAGCTTCCCCACCATGTACTTACCAAACAACAAAAACACTTTCAAAAAAAGTGCTTTCCATGTCCACCAAGTTAGATATTTTTATTTTGTAGAGCACCAAACCAAAATGCCAAGAAAGTAACAATAAATTAAAATGAGCCAAACAACTACCAATGTATAGCATAAAAATAGGGCAAAAAAAGTCACTTTAATGCCGAAAATGATGTATATTTACTCAATTATATGTACATAATGTTATTTACATCGGCACCCCCAACATTGCAAAAATAACATTTGAACCCCTCAAATTAAGAAAAACAATGTGGGGTCACCCAAATAAAAAAAAAAAAAAAAATCCGGCTACCAACACTGGTCCGTTTCCCATCTCCGGGTCGGGTAAAATCCACCACGACCCGAAAAACCAAACGGCGCCGTTTGTAACCTCCTCCTATTTCTCCCCGCCAACGACAGATCATAAACCGCCCTCGCTGCCGGATCCGATAGCGTGGCATAAGCGTTATGGATCTCGATGAAATCTCGGCCATCTGATGTGCGTTCCCCTGATAAATCGGGATGGTAAACTTTCGCCAGGTTGCGATACGCCATCTTGATCTCTGTCAAGGAGGCCGTGGGGTGAACTCTCAGAACCTCGTACAAGCTTCCTCCGAGCGTGCCCACGGCAGTAGACTCCTCAGCCGCATACGAGACGGCAGACGGACAGGGGTTTCGCTTGTTTCGGCCGGAATACCGGGTGGAATTTGGGGAAAGGACGATTTGGGGAGGGGATTGGGGTGACTTTGGGGAAAGGGCGGTTTTGGGCGAAGATTGGGGCGAAAAAAAGTGGGGTTGAATTGTGGGTATGTTTAAAGTGGCGTACATAATTGAGTCTGAGAAAAATATTTGTGTTAAGTGTGTGTGAAAAAGGAAGAAGAAGAAGTGTTCATATATATAGAGTATACGTACAGGTCAAATGGCGGAAACGAAAATGGAAAACCGGTGCCTTTTGCGTTGTCGTTTTGACAAAAATCAGCGGATGGGGCCTGTGGTTTTCATTTTGAGAATCTTTAGCCTTTCTCAAGCTGGCTGCGGCTTTATTCTTAGGCTTAGCTAATAGCTATGGATTTATTGTTATAATTTTTTTCTAGGGATGGAATATTAATGAAAATATCAAAAAATAATTTTTTTTTGTAATAATTAAAAATAAATTATTTTGTAGTTAAATTAATAATGAATTTAATATTTTTAAAGTGAAAATATTCTCAAAATTTAAGAAGATTTTTTCTATAATATTTGTCTTAAATGACCTACTTAAATCTTAAGAGTTAAAAGGATTCGAATATGAAACCGTACGTTTTAATCATACGGTCTCAATGCTCATTTTATAACTTGAATTATATATGAAGGAATTATCAATAAAACATATTTACTCATAATTTGTTTCATATTTCTATTTTAAGTTAAACGTTTATTGTGTTTACTTTTAGAAAATTTATTCTATTCATTTTTTAATCAAATAATACACAGTATAATATCTATAAAAAGCATTTTAATTTTTTTTAAATTATTTTCATATTTTTATTTTTATTAATATTAATTTTAGGTAATTTCTATTATTTAGTGTAGGCTGGCGGCTGAGACGCCAAGCGGCTTATAACTTGAAGCCGACACAAAAAACAAAACCCAAAAGCCAAATTTCCTCACACGTACCAACGTTTCTAGAAGCAAAGAGCTGCTTAGGACTATCTACACCCTCCGATTCGCTTACTGAAATCCAATATTCGACATCCAACGGTGAAGAACACTGAAAGCGACACATCCAAAGTTCCAAGATTAGCGTGGGCCACTATTCCAATGCGCGTTTTAACTTTTAAGACCATCCAATGGTTGTAGTTACTTTGGCACGTGCAGGAGCTTCTGGAAGCCTTTAATTTTTTCCACAAATAAATCTACCTTTTTTTTTTTTCTCTCACTATTATTGTATGAATGTCCCTTTCTTCCCGAAAAAAAAAAAAAGAGCTTCTAGAAACCAAACCTTTTGTAGAGGAATTGTTTAATTATAATGTAGAAAAATGAAATAAAATAATATTTAAATATTAATTAAACAATTATCTTATAATAGTTTAATAAGAATTTGTTATAATAGTGGTTGTGATGGTGAAAGAGACCTTGGCAAAAACCTTCTAGAAAAAAACAAAAATACCAAGTCACGACGACAAAAGTTTTTACTTGGTCGGTCGGTAACATTATCAAATCGGTAAAATATAGTATCCCTCAAGTTAATATAACCTTGTATATATTAAAATGTAAATCAAATTTTCAAACGTTATGATAATGATATTTATCTCACAATAATTCCTGTGCATTAGAAAGCTAGATCTGAAGTTTAAAAAATCATAACGTTCGTTTGTTTTATTATTTTGGATATAATTTTAAGAATAATATTGAGTAGTTGAATAGGGGGGTATCACGAGGTAAAATTTAAAAATTTACAAAAAAAAACCTCTAGGTTTGCTAATTTAACTAAACACCCCAATATATAAAAAATTTGTAAAATGACAAAAACACCCCCACCCACCCACAGTGTCAGATTCTGGCCACCACTGTCGAAATATGGGCAAAAAATGGCTTTACAATGCATACCGATCAGATCTTGCGGGTAGGGCGTCGAAATGACCTTTTTCGACCAAATCCATCACGGATCTGGCTGGAAAATGCCAGATCTACGGAGTCCAGATCTAACGGCCTGTCGGTCAACAATAGCCAAGATTTAGCCTTTGTTGACCGTCAACAACGGCCAGATCTGGCCTTTTCCGATCAAATCCACTGTAGATAAACGACAGAAGTATAATTAGATAAAAACTCATAAACTTATAATAATGTACAGTTTAACAACTCATTAATAATTCACGGATAGCATGAAGATTTTTGTTAGTTAATTAGTCCTTAATGCAATGTCCTAACTCTATAGTTTCTATGCATTAAAAGTATATTTCATTGAATCAAATTCATCCCATACTTTAATATATTGTATATTATATGATTTTGGGTGGGCATTTATGTAAGATGTTTTGTGAATGTGACCCCCATTAAAGAAAAGTAAACATTATATTATTTTATAAAAATATTATTAGTGGAAGACTTGGCCGAACACAAACTCCTCCTTTTCAATTAAAAAAAAAAAAACACATGAAACTTGATGTGTACATTAGTGGATGTAGACATTAAACATTTGGGTTTCAAATTCAATTTTAATTGGGCCAAAAACCAATTTAATATGTAAATAATTTTTGTTAAAGTCAGAATTGGAGTGCATGGTTTGTCCTAACATGAATTGAGAGAGGTGGTGTCCCTTCTAAGATTCAAAAACCAATTTAATGGATCAAAGAAAAGTAAACAACATACTCACCACCACAGAAACAATTTGACCATTATAATGAATATTATCATATTATCTCTAGGAAGAATTTTGGTTCCATGGCTAACTAGAGAGAAAGGGGATAAGGACATAAACGTTATCTCTAGTAAGAATTTCGAGATTTGTTCGAGGAGTCATGTTAAGCTAATTGGATATATATGCAATAAAATACTTTTGAGGATCATTTTCGATTATTTACATATTTTGAGATTTGTTCGAGGATCATACGAGAAACAAAATGATCCTCAAATCTTTGTTACTATTAATAAAGAAAAATAACATTAGCGTATGTGAAGGGATGTTTGATCACTTTCTGGCACTGCAAAGGTTTTTGTTTTTCACACTAATTATACATTTTTTATGTACAGTAATTATATCCTGTATATTACCTTTTTAATCTGATGCTTAAATTTTTCTGTTCACTATTAATAAATTTTTATGTATGGCGATTGTGCAAGCCTTTGATTTAATGTAAAATTGGATGTCGGAGTTCAACCTTTTACCTACGCATGCCAAATCTTTTGAAGTTATGATCTGTTGTTCAGCTATTGTCTTCGCTGTCATTCTGGTTGAGAATCTTGGAACATGTTTCATGTTTGTATTATCTTCTCATACTAGTAACACTATTTAGTATGTTTGCAAAAGAATGAAGGTTTAGTTTTTGTATCTCATAGGATAAGCCATCATAAATATGACATGCACTTGCAATATGTTCCAGTCGCGGTCAACTTATCAACATATATTTCTTTTTTGTGCAGCTAATGACCAGCAAAAGGAACTGCAGAAGCAGATGTGAGCGTGGTGACCCTTCCTGAACAAAAGAGGTAGAAGACTGGAGGCATCTCTAGGAAGGGATTGAGAAGGCTGTCAAGGCCACGATGCATTGTGGGCTCGTTTCCAAGAGGAGAATGGAAAAATGAGAAATTATGCGCGAGACCGCTCACAACAAATAACTAATTTAATCACTAACTAATTAACAAGGACTTGACCCCTGTAGTAGAAAAAGCAGTGAAAGGGAATTGGCTGCAGTGGACCAGCCATTGTTCGCACATCTCTCCAGTATTGAGAAAACATTTCTTCAACTATTACAGAGTCCTCAGGTTTGAACTCTGAATCTCTGGTTCTTCTAAAGTAATCTGGTTTATTGGCATCTAATTGATACTTTGTGCTGCAGAGAGAGGTCAGTGACAAGGCAGTGAATATGCTGGACAGGTCAGTTAATACAAGACTTGAAGCTACAGTTGGTAGGCAAATCCAAGCACAATTTCAAACTTCTGGCAAGATAGCTCTCCAGGTCACCAGTTCAGCTTGGCTCAGTTAATTAAATTATTGAATCAGATCTGGACTGAATAAAATATCATTGCTCAATATGTTGTTTATCTTTTGATGTGAGTTTAGAGAAATATCTGATCTTATCAGTCTGTTCATTAGGATGCTTTGAAGTCCGGTTAGAAGCTTCAGTGTTCCCTGCCTTTGAGAAGTCATGCAAAGCTATTTGTAGCAAGTAGACGCTACCTTTCAGAAGGAATGGCTGAACATTCAACGCAGCTCTGCAGCATTTGAATCTGCACATTCTCCCTTGGCTCTAGCTTTAAGGGTGTGTATTATCATGCTAGCATACTATTCATATAGAACCACTGACGTTCTTCCCTTCTTACCTCTGAGGTACATAAATCAAAATCTTGGTTCTTTCAGGATTCAATTACTCTACTTCGTCACTGCCCAAACTTAAGTGGAGAATTGGCAGATGTTCAGCGTAAACTTAAAGTCTTGCAGCTGCAGGAGGAACCCAAGTGTTGTACATCCCTTGATTCCCCAACTGAGCAATGGACCTTTGCATGTTCTCCTGATAAGGTTCTCTGCTTTCTCTTGTTCGTTATTTACAAGTAACAATTGAAGCTGAATGGTGAAAGACTGAAAGTCGTATTCAGCTGCCAATAACATTTGTCATTAAGATTGGTTGGCTACCTAATATTAATACTCTCTATCATGCTTCAGTGAATCATCTTAGACCCCGCAAAAGAACTATCCAGATTGATATCTGAGCGCAAATAGAAGAAGCTTTCATTGTTGCCCTACAAAGAAGTGATGTGTCTATTGTGTCTTGGCTATGTTCACAGGTTGCTATAGTATGCTTTAGATTCTTTTGTCGGTCCTTGTACTCGAGTATTAGTTCCTAATGGGTCTCTTAGCCATAAGTTATTAAATGATCTATACGTTTTTCTCTGATACTTTATCTGTATGTGCTGGAGATTATTATGAGAAATGAACTTGGCTGAAATACTCATTACTGCATATTAAGTCATGTATGATTTTTCTTCCTTGTATTTTCCAGGTTGATCTACACGGGATCGGCTACGGTGCCTCCCTTTGAGCCAAGGAGTTGCTCTCTCTTCTGCGCAGTTGGCCTTGATATCAACAAGACACACCCGTAAACTGCATGGCTAACAGATGTGGCTGCAGC